CCGTAAGAGTTATAAAAATAGTTCAGTAAAACAAGAAGGTTTCAGTTCATCTGGTCAAGGGGAATAATTATGGGGATTGGCTGTCACTTGGGGTTGGAAACGGGAGCACCCTGTTGGCAAGCTCTCTTCTACAGGGGCAGTTTAAGTTCTATGGTAACACTGGGGGGCTGGGAGAGGAGACCAAACGCTGTTGCGAGACAGTGTTGGTGAGGCAAGGGTGCCAAGTTATTGGTGGGGGCGGTGGAGTTGTCCCAGAAGAGCGAGTTCACCGATATGAGCATCAATTGAAGATGAACAGGAAGAAGACATGCGGTCGTGCTTTGCACTTTAATGAGGAGGATTGTAGGACGTGAGATCATGAGCTACAACAGTCGGGAGGCTGTCTGCGCATGTGGCTACTATTTGCAAGTCACGGAGATAGCGGTCTCAACCGTGAGCCTGGTGAACCGATTGGGAGCCACGACAGCATGCATGACTGGGTGGAGGTCGGAAACCTTCTGCATCAAGGGGACGCCAGGTGTTACATCTGTCGATGAAGGATGTCTTGCTCCCCTAGAATGGAGCCATGATTTTTCAGGTTTGGAGTAGGGTGGGAGGCGTTGAGGAGTCTTGAGATGTAAGCGATGTAGACTGCGGTCGATCGTGGGGTGAGTATTTGGACTCGGAGTGTACCAGTAGACGGGCCATGGTTGTCCAGCAAACACCTCGGGAGGTTTCAGGCAATGCAATATATTGTTCTGTACAGATCCATATGGTTCTTAGGAAAAAACCTGTAGGCACTCGATGCATTTTAAGCCGTCCGGATCGTGATGGTAAAAGCGAGCTCGGAGGTATTTCTCCGGTTTAAGGTGCAGGTGTGTGGGAAAACTTATTATCAACCCCTGATAACCTTTAACATTGGATATGTTTATCCAAGACACACATAAACAAAGGAAAAACGTCTGAAGTTAAAAGGCAACCTGGCACAAAATTGTAACCGCGCGGCCACTCCTGCCGCCCATGAAGCACCACAGCATGCCAGCGCCTAAGCTGCGGGGACCATCCTGTTATTCTAGCCCAGTGGCACAAAACTGAGCAGACAGGAAACGAACAAGTCTACTGAAACTGCTGAACCCACCACCTGGTCTAATCAACTCCACCTGTTCGCGCAGGAGCTGAGAAAAATGCATGCCTTTACTAAATGACCGAATCTAAATCCAGACAAGAGTTCAGAAAGCACATGCCTTTAAGATTTTGGGTTCTCTGTCGCACGTACAGCCAGTGCAACTGCTGTGGGAAGCTTGCTCAAGCTACGGGCATACGCTTTCAGGCGGCCCAAGTTTTTCGTTGCGGGCTGTAATGGGGCCACTTGCCGCACGGTGCTCCTAGCTGCAAAAATTTTAAGACTCGAGTAGAAGTTTTTGTGCTAAGATGTTGAATTTTGTTGCGCATATGCTCAAACCAAAAACCATCCTAATCCACGTTCATATTTTTGCGGTCTACCAAGTCTCATTGCCCACTGGAACAATCATACCTCTGGTGAAAAGAGTCTGGTTGAATGATTTTCCAGCATCGCTGAGACCCCAGGATGCCTATATAGAGCTAAAAGTTTGTACTGGTACTGTGAACTCAGTTGGCTGATTGCCTCAGTCCATTAAAAGCGCGTAACACTTCGAAAATTCAATTCAATTGTGCGAATACTGAGCTTACCAGTCGCCGACTGACCTTGACCGCAACTTCTAAACAGACATGCTACGATGTTGCTCAGGCTTCCTCGGCAGCTCTTATTACAGTTCCGGGTGTCTTCGCACGTTATCTGTACGTATTGCAGCCGTACACACGTCCGATATGTAGACCCGAGTTCCGTGCGTTGGTTTCCAGGACATATGCGTAAGGGAATCAATGCTATGAATTCAAAAATGAGCGATGTTGACGTGCTTATTGAAGTTCACGACGCTCGGATTCCTTTCACGGGACGTTCTGAACTGTTTCAAAAGTTCGGCCAGGTATGGTGTTTGCAGCCAGTGGTGCGCTTTAAAGATATGGGACCCCAATATTCTGTCCCATGGTTTCAAAATTCGTATGCGGTTTACCACTAAGAATGCCAAATACCGGTCATTATCGTTTCGAACGGTATCCGCTGCTTGTTTGCGAATTGTGTATGCACTTTTCCGCCACCATATAGCAAAGGATTCGCAGTCCGGTGCCTTACGTGACCTTGTATTTCCCATAAATATTACCACAACCTTTCAATTTTTCATTTTTGTGACCTAAAATGAGGAGCTCGCTGAATAAAATTGCCACCTTATGTTATTTTATATGCACTGCAATTGTTTTTAAGTGTTTGTTTAGGTTACACTCTATTTGCCCTGGAAGTAACGGTCTTCTTGTGCTATCTCCGGTGACTTGCATGGTTTCTGTATGCACGCGCTGCAAGTGTTGTCGACAAGCCAGTGGTACCTAAATCGCCATCAAGTAACTATATGTATAACTATACGGTGGCAAATGGGGTATTTGTCATGCAGGTCAAACTTGTATGAGACGAACCAACGAGAGATTGCCTACGAGGTTGTGGTAATAGCATCAGCCCATTTTTCTCATTCATTGAGTCACTGTCGGGGCTTATGCTGACACGACAGATAAAGACCGTTTCTCGCATCGACCCAAGTGATTAGGGCGCAAATTTACTGACCGAAAGGTCCGTGGTTCGAACCCGACCTCTGCCTCTCGACTTCCCTTGTCTAGGCTTAGGCAACCTGGCAGTATCCCAGCCCTCGTGCAACCTTCGGGTGGCATGGCAGCTAGGCACCGAAAGGGTGCTAGAGCTGGACGTATCCCAATTGAGCCAGCATAAAAGACGACTACTTACTGGGATCCAGTCCAGTAATTTGTTTTTAGCCTTGGGACAGGGTGCAACTCACACACCGTAGATACCGCGAGCCATTGCTTCAGGATCACCAGATACCCGAAGAATGAAATATGGAACATGTGAGCTCTCCCTAAGCGTTCTGAGGTTCACTAACAAAATGGGCTCTTGCGTGCATGTTTTAGAAAAAAATACGTCACCAGAAGGAAGATTTCAGTAAGAGGTATCCGTTGCCTTATTTGACATTGATGGTTGCAATATGGATAAGATCACTTGATGTTCGTAAGTGATTCTTTTGATTTACTTTTCTGATTGGACACAGAACAGTGGCTACGGGAATCGCAGAGGGGTTGATCGCACTGACTCTTTCGATGGGTGGGAAGGGGGTGTAGTTAGAAGCTAATGAGCAAAGAGCTGCAAGGGCAAATGATTCTTCCTGGATGCCAAGCCGAAGAAGGAGGTTTGGTTTAGGTGCATCACCCTGAGCATTTAACTCAAAATTATGACCCACAAGGCAGCGGTTGGCAGGGTCCTCATAAAAACCTCTCCTGGATCCAAGGACTCAATGGTCTAACCCTCTTGACTGCAGGGGGCCTTCCTGGCCCGATGATGCACGAAGCAAGGCATTACTGTCACTCCTAGTGCGGCTGCGCACAGCAGGTGCTTTCCGAGCAGCACATGATTCTGGTTTCGAAGGTATTTTGACCTTACTGAATAATGCGCCGGTGGTCACGGCCAACTGTTGGGCGATCGAAGTGTGCGGTTTTTGGGTCCGACTTTTTCTGACTATTCTTTCTTTGAGGTAAGTCAGCGTCGCTGCCTCCATGAGTATGGACATGCTGGTCGCCCTGGGGAAACGCCCTACTGCCTCCACTTTCCTATCACAGAGGACAGTACGACTTTACCTCCTGACCTCGTAATACGACTACTCGCATTACGGGGATTCGCTGTTTTTCGTCGCGCCGCTCCATGTCAGCCTTTCTGGCAAGGTTGAACCTTTAGGAACTGGATTGCAGCCAATATAACCCGCAGGATCACGACAAGGGGACAGCCTCAGGTTGGGGCAACAGACAGCCGTTCTCTCAAAACTATAGCTGATGTGGGCTTGTGCTGGCGAATCCTAAACGAGAGAATTAGAAAACGTGTTTTCAGGTATACAGCAGGGACTTCACTCAAGGCATATATACAGCACGGTTAAGCGATGGATTGCGCATACTGAATCATTATTTGCCGACAAGAGTGTGGCTTTCTGTTCCCAACTCAGGCGAACGCAAGCACAGAGAGAAAAGCCGTTCACCTGTAGCACCCCTTCGGTGCCTAGCTGCCGTGCCACGTGAAGGGGGCACGAGAGTTGGGGTACTGCCAGGTCGTC